TGGATATTGTGGTTTTTAGAGTCGGTTTCCTGGGTTTTGCCAACTACCTACATGGTTGTTCTGATTTTTCTGTCATTGCTGGTTGTTATTATTCCAAGAGAAATTTGGGTGGCTCCTCCAGTCTAGGTTGTAGGTGTTGGAATATGGGTTATGGTCATGATTTCCTGTGACATTTACATATTCTAAGGCCGAGATGTTAGGATCTACCATCGGTCCTTGAATTAACCCATTGTTGGGTGACAACCATGCTTCGAATTCATCCCTAAATTGTCTATTTTTTTGGAAATTGCAACCACTTGGATAGTCAGGATAGCCACGACATCAGATTCATGAACAGAGACTACTTTCATGGATGTCACTCTATCAGCGGGCTATTGAAAATTATTGTTGATCATTTCTTCTATTAATTGGTAGGCTTCATCAAAAGGTTTAGACATGAGTGATCCTCCTGCTGCGGCATCTTTTATGAATCTCAATGAACCTATCAGGCCATTGCAAAAAGATTGAATGATTAGTCAATCAGGTAAGGCAGTTCTTTGAACCTTTCTCAGGCCCATAAATGGACTCTCCAGCAATTTGAGTAATGAGGTAATGTCATTTCTAAATTTTGAAGTTTTAGATGGAGAGAAGTATTTGGCAAGCAATTTTTGTGTTAAGTCATTCCGTGATTGATCCTAAGGCAAAGTAATTAAGTCATACATTAGCCTTATACCTTACAGAAAAGGGAAAAAATCACAGTCTAACAGCATCACTGGGGACACCGTTGTACTGGAAGGTGGCATACAGTTCAAGAAAATTGGTTAAGTGAAGGTCGGGCTCTTCAGTGGCAAGTCCTCCAAACTGATTGTTTTGAACAATTTGGATTATGACAGGATGTAATTCAATAGTGTTAGCCTCAACATTGGGATAGTTGATGCTCATGTGAATCTCTTCAGTAAAAGGGTTGGCATAGTCCCCAAGTGGCTGCATGGTAAATGAATTAGGGTTAGTCATCTCAACAGGTGATTCAGAAGTCAAGTGTGCTCTCCTAAAACGTCTAAATGTGATAAAGTGTTTAAATGTGCGATCAATCTCAAGGTCAAAAGGGGTAAAGCAGTCTCAGCTCCCCTAAACATAAACACAACAAATTAACAACTACTTATGCAACAAACAACACACTGACTCACACAGGTCTGTCCATTAACTACGTACAAATGCAACACATAATATTCAAAATAAAAACAAGAAATAAATTAACAACATGATATTTTTGGCATTTTGATTTTTTTCAGCACCTGCAAAGAAAACAACAATCTCTAGATGCAAGAAGAGAAAGAAAAAGTCACATAAATAAATAAATAAATAAATAATGTCAAACGCAGATCCTAAATTTTTCAAATAATGTTTTTCTAATAGCAGAAACAATTATTGACGTTTTCCCCTGTCAATGACGACAAAGACTTGACGCACCAAAACTTATTGGGACGTAAGTAGGCCATATAACGCAAGTGTACGTGTCAAGTAGTAATGCAGTTCAAGAATATCGCGCCTCGATCCCACCAGAAAAGTATAATATTTAATTCCACAGAAAAAAACTTTAGTTTACTAATTCAGTTAACCTAGCTTGCTGATTATCACAAGAAGGCTTTTAAGTCCTAAGGTCCTAGCAAAACAAAGTACTTGGCGATAATGGAAAGCAGAAAACAAGAGGGAAAAATTCATGAATTTCTTCAAGATGGATAAGGCTCATGCCTCTGTGATTTGGGGATCGTGGCGATCACGGTATTCATAAGTATTTTTTCTACGTGATTGTTGTAAATCGGGGATAAAGTACTCCTTATGTCTATGTCTAGATTAAAATAAGCTAAGAATCCATAAAGTTGGGGTTTCCTTAATTCCCATGACATCCTCATGCCTTTACTGATCCACTGGAATGATTGCAGAATTTCATTGAAACATGTCTATCCTCTTAAAATTATGTAGTCAACTCTTCATTTCCACAACGCAAGGGTTAGATTTCATGGTTTCACGAAATATTTTAACTTCCTAGTTGACCAAACTAAGATTAAATGATAATCGGGGGTTAACCAACAACATAGGCTATGAAAAGCTCAAGAAAACAATTAATGAAAAAAGAATTATGGAAATCAACAATAAATTCACTACTCCTTACATTACAGAGACACGAAGAAAAAGTTAGCGGCTCATTATGGAGAAAACCATAGCTAAAATACCACATGAAATTTCATTGCAAGCAACATAAAGATGAAAAACTTACAAAAAATTGTTTCTCTAACAAAGTCCGCAACTTTCCCTCTCATACAAAATCTCTCACGACTTACAAAGTAAGGAAAAACTCTCCCTCGAAGATTTCAACCTGAGGAAGAAATCCCTCAAGGGATCCCTCAATCCTCTCCCAAACTCCCCTCTTTCAGCCTCCAAACTTTCTCTGATGCAGAACTCCCTCGTAGAAGTCCTAAGATCTGATTTTATAGCAAGAATCACGATTTGGGCCATCAATTTCCTTCCTTAAGTGTTGCCCGCTCATTTATGTGGTCATGTCGTTCTTCTGTCAGGGCCAGTATGGTCACCCTTGATTATGGCATGGTCGCGTTGCCCTACTGCAACCTATGGCGCGATCACACCATTTTTGGGCGTGGTCATTCCAGCCTTGTTCAATCAATGGCATGGTCACGCCACCTTTAGACGTGGTCACGCCGCTTCGGGTCACTTTCTTCTAGATTTTCTCGTTTCATCTTGTTCTTATTCAATTACTGCATCTTGCACAACACGAACATAATACTTTTCTCAAACGTAGAACTGTGTTAAATGAATAAAATTAAGATATAAAATGCAAGAAAAATAGTAAGTAAAATGACGTAAAATTGACGCATGTCAATAATGTTATTGGCACACCTTCCTTTCAGACACACCTCCCTTTCATGCTATTTCGATCTTATTGCTTTTATTTTATTTATTTAATTGTGTGTTGTTTATTCCTTAATTTCATGTTATCAATTTATTTTTATAGTTCTAACAAAGATGACCCTCTGCAAAGAGTCAAGTGAATATTTCAACACTTATCTAGATTAATAATAGCAAAGAGTGTGTAAACAACTGCTTCCAAGATCCAATCATCATGTAATATGCAGTTCCAAGTGATTTTTAATTTAATTTCTCAAAGTTTTTTGTGTTAAACTTCTCAAGGGTGAGAAATTAGGGGCAATTACATATATATCACTTAAATTTTATAACTACCAGAATAATTGTATTTGCATGCTCCATGATCAATCCATTGGAAATTTTACAAAAGCAAAAAAAAAGGATTTGAATTTTCCTAGATTTGAAGGTCCTAGTTTCATAAATATCCAAGATTTGAGTGTTATGTAAGTATCAGCATGTCTTTATAAAAGAAAGTGAAATTTGTTTTATTTCTAATATAAAAATTTAGCAAAGTATCTAGCCATCGATAAAATGGTTTTTTGTAAGATGAAAAGATAGTCTATTTCTAGGAAAGTCTTCTCCTTATTTTCGTGTGAGATTTGGACTTTTATGTGGTATTCTCAAACTTTAACTTCATTTTGAGCTATGTATTTCGATATTAGTTTCATTAGTGGAATTATTTTGTATGAAAACAATTACCATAGATTATTATTAAACTATGAATCTATATTGAGTAATGGTTTCATGGTTTGAAGCTTTCATTGAATTTCTATTTCAGTGATCATTAGTTTAATATTTTCAGAAAAATTTCATATAATTTTTAGTTTGCAACAAAATAAAGCAAGTGATTGTTTAATTGATCATCATTAATACAACGATCTAAAGCTTGATTGCTATTTCAATGATCCTTATCTTATTATTTGAGGAAAATATTAAGAAAAAAAATAAATTTTAAAACACTGAGTGTCATATAACCCTTTAAGCTTAAATCAAATATTCATCCATCATTATCACATTGGACTTATCCCACCTATTATGAGTTGGCATTTGAATCCTCAATCTAATATTCCCCATACATTCATATATAGTGTTTTGAGTCATATCAACCTTCTTTAACCTTTTCTTGGCATAATATCTAGCAATCTTAACAAAGTTTCATCATTTTTCCTTCCTAATCCTTCATAAATATCACTCTTCATCTTATTAAGTCATGTCACATTATACGTCAACCAACTGATGATTCAATTAGGAAAGTAGATTTTTTAGAATTGACTTATATTAAGAAAGAGGTAGACCTAAAAAGACTTGAGCATATTGTATAGAAAATGATCTTAATCCATTAGAATTAAATGAAAATATGACAGTCAATAGGACACAATGGAGAAAAACTTGTTCCTGTTGTTGTATCTTAATGAAACATCCTCTATACTTCATTGTACATGTTACAAAACCTTGTCCTCAAAAATACTACTCCAGTCATCTCTCTTATAGTCATTTCTATAAATATTTTTCCTAAATTTACTACACAAGCATGTTAACATTGCATTTCCACTCTAAATCCTCAAAAATACTACTCCAGTCATCTCTCTTATAGTCATTTCTAAAAATAATTTTCCTACATTTACTACACATGCATGTTAACATTGCATTTCTACTCTACACTTGACTCACAGGACTTATTGATCACCTAAAATCCAAGAAGTAGTTCTATTAAAACTGCCTTCAAGTCTCCATATTACTCTCGTAATTCCTAATAATTGACTAGATAACAATCCATGAGAAAAATTGTCCAGCTACTCCAGAGTTAGTTAAGAAAAATGGTTGAGAAAAGCATGCCGAGCATCAATTTACATGAGAAAATTAAGGCAAATGAGCTACTAGAAGAGAATCTCTATTTTCTTAACATTGTCAGTAGCAGAACAGAATTTTGCAGAAAATACACAAGCAAGTTGCAGTGAGAAACTACTCTCGTCAATGAAATCAACAGATTACCAGTAGCATCAAGCACATAACTTTATACAAGCAAAATGGGGGAAAAATTTTTCACAATGAAGAACAAGAGATAAATGATAGCTGACCTGTTGATCTGCAGGAAGTGGGACGGCATCGCCGAATATTGTCACACGTGAATTTGATAACCCGCTCCACCCAGGAATCTACAAATAAGCCTTGATATAGATAATCCAAAATTTTTATAACAAATGCTTAAATTCTGACGCTTAATGTAGTGTGCAGATAAAATATGGTTTATTGATATAGCAATACCTGAACAACTAGAGTGCACCTCGGATCTGCCAACAAGTTGCGAGTGTGCATGGCCAACGGTGACAGCGAAAAAATTGGATCTAAGAAATAGCAAGTGATATTGCTAAAAGGCAAGCAGAAGTAAAATTGAAATGGATGTGTAAATAACATTACAAACTTACGCCCAATTGAATCAGTTGCATAATCAACCAAAGAACCGCACGGATATCCTGCACGACGATGGTGCATTCGAGACATCACGGTGCATAAATGAGCAAACCTAGCCTATTATGAATAGGGAGTGACATGAAAATACAATCAAGTAAAGCAAAAATATAAATCAAATTATGAAATAGAAAAATTCAAATGAAAAGAGAGCTATGTTATCATGTGTACAAAACTAATTGTCACCCACAAAGTAGCTTACCTGCTCCATCAAGTTGCGAACAGATAATTCTGGACAAGGTAAATCATAAGAAGATGTCGCGCTATGCAATCCACCTGAAATTGGTGTTCTGAATAGCCCAGCTCTGGTTGTAAATCCGCCATGACAATTTGTGTCATAAGAAGGTCCAGTCACTTCTTTTTCAGTTAAATCCATCTTGTCGATGCCAACTTCGTCGATACTATGTTTCAACTAATTGATTAACAATAAAAAAGGCATTAGCTGCTAAATTTCCCTAATGAAAAATGTTGATAAATTATCCCAAAAAAATGGCATTAGATTCCATTAAGTGAAAACCTTGGCCATTAAAATTTCAAAATTAAATTAGTCATCCAAATGTGATCATTCATTTGTAATTATCCTTATTGAATTTAGTCACAATATTATCCAGGGTGCCCGCAAGCATTATTTAAATTACAAGGATAGTCCTACACATTTTATATTTCTTAAAAAATTGCCTAAATACAAATTGGCTTTATATTCTTAAATCATAGCTCCCATCTAACATATTATGTCAAAAATATCTACGGCGCAGTACTCCCAGTTCATTGGTCCTTATAGCAAGTAATGCAGTGCGTATTTTTGAGATAACATCCTATAATTTATGGTCCCCAAATAGTCAGAATATGATGATGAAAACGATGCTATAGAGCCAGGTGTGAGTTGTGAGATGTACTCTATTTAGCATTAAATATTGTTGGGCTTTCAATATCAGCACTATTACAAAGAGACTTCAAATTTTTTTCTAAAAGTATCCTAAGACTTTCTACAACCAAATATTGTTGGAGAGTTCCTAAAAATCCCTAGGATGATAAACACAAAAATAAAGCATAAATGAATATCAAGGTACCACGATTCAAGTCCATATGGATATCGAAGCCACATCAACAGATCCAAGAAGGCAATCCTATAAATTCAAAAATGTTCGGGACATTGTGCAATTCATCGTTTTTTTCGAAATCATATTATTTCTCTTTATGCTACCTATGTTATTTGATCATGCACACTGGTAAGGAACAATTCATATGGCCCGCAATAGTAAATGACATAGTGCTTTCCATTATTAGTTCAGAAAAACATATATAGCTTCATTTAATAACTTAAGATCCAATTTTCTTAGCGAAAGTTAGAAAGAATGTTCTAAGACATAATGAAATTTCATAGATCCATTATTTGATTTGATGTGGTTAGAAATCAATATTTCCACAACCCCTCTCAAACTCCCCTTAAATATACCAATTACAACTTTACATATTTGGTTTGTTGAAGTTATAAAGCATTCTTTGAAAACAAAATGAATTTACTAGATTGCAATTAAATTGAATTTCAACTCTACCAACACCTTAAAAATCCTGCAAAAGTGATAATTTTATTTTTCACTCAGAACGGCTGAAAACAAAATCATCATTTTTAAAACATTTTTTGCATCTAACACCAACCAAATGACCCATGTTTAAACAAATATCATTTTCTGGAATATGCTTTCTATCTGAAAATATGCTTTCTATCTACAAGCAACTAAATGAGCCCTTGATTAAGCCCAAATTGAGAGTCAAGGAGGATTCAATGTGTAATGTCCAGCAGGATTAGGGATGTTTATATGTATAAAACCAGCTTTTCTACTTCCACCGTATCATTGTAGCAAGTTTATGAGCTGATGCAATTTCCTGTAAGACGATAAACCAATAAATGCCATTTTGGAAGATTCTTCCAATACCGAAACACCATCCAAATCATGTCATCACCGATTCAACAAAACACCTTCAAAGAAACACAGAAGCAACAAAACTCAAATCCTTACATACAAAAGAACTAATAAACAACCAAATAAATATGAAAACAGTGAGGAAAAAGAAAAGTAAAGAACACCTCGAGTTCATGCCACACAGACCCATGGCCGAAATCCAATTCTTCGCCCTCTCCGCTGTCGAAGACCTCATTGCTAGCTGAACGGAATCCTCTACGGCGACTAGAGAGACTTGGAAACTTAGAATTTTGATGGGTTTTGAAGAAGCGCTGTTCAAAACATGGCAACTTGGGGCGAGAAAAGACGGAAGAGTGGCGCGAATGGTAGGGTTCGCTCAGCTTGGAAGTAAAAGCAGAGGAGGCCAGAGCCTCCATTGGAGAGCAGAAGACGCAAACTTCGGGCGATTTTTTTTTGCAGTTTCAACAGAGGAGAACAGAGTTAAAGCAATAAAGCAATAACTTTTTGGCCTGGAAAGAGTTGCGGCGATTCAATGAATGAAAATATTTCTTTCGGATTTTGTTAATTAAAATAAGGCTTTTTACAAAACTAACATTATAAAATTTATTATTTATAAAATTAATACTTTCTTACATAGGTGTCCATAGAAAATGTGATAGGATGGACCAGAAAAAAGGGTACATCAAGGGATGACTCGCTGACAAAATAATCCGAGTTCTAATTGTCCTACCGAATCAACCAAGTGATCTGAACCCGATCAGCTCAACAAGAAACAAGGCAAAGGATTGCTCGAACCTATTACCACGATGAAACCAACACAAAGGAGGAGCATCCTTTGGATCGTACAGTTGTATTGGGGACATCCAGCAGTCACCCAATTATGATCAAGAGTTAATATTATCAAGTTTTAGTCTTCCTTAAGAATCTTTTCGTGAAAGGGTGGATATCTATTGGATTATAGTGACTCGCCATATGTTTGATATTCTTGCACAACTCAACTGATAGAGTTCTCTCACGAGGAATCGTGGGTAGACGGCAAGGTCAGACTAATCAATCAGCGAAGCTTAGCCGACCAAATCAGTCTCACCAAACCCAAAACAATCAAGGCCAACCGATCGGTGACAACAAATTTGTTTAACTAGCCATTGTTGTCATTGAGCAACTACTATGGCAAGACCAACATCACTTGACCATTGCTGTCATCATCGAAATGTTGTTGCCTGGACACGACTGTTGCCATTATTGTTGTTCTCTAACCACCTTTACTTAGTTGCCATCACCAGTCTTACCATCGTAGTCAGACCATCATTGCTTAAACATCACTACTATTGCCAAAAACATTGCCACCCAATCACTATCACCACTATTGTTGCCTTGATCGAACCATCGTCGCTTAACTTTCATTATCGCAATCGGGCAACCACTATTGTTGTTAAACCATCATTGTCGGGCTACAACTGCCATCACCAAGAAAACATTGCTCCATCATCAGCCCTACAACTGCCATCACCAAGAAGAAATCGCTCCATCATCACTATAGACATTATTACCATCATCAGACCATAGTCGTTGGGTTATCACCATTGCATCACTTTCGCTATACCATAATTTCTTGACCACCGTCGTTGCTAATATTGAAATCTCATCGCCCGACCGCCATCGTCGCTGCCATTGTTATCGTTATCAAATCACCATCATCTGGCCACCACCATTACCGTTATGTTACACTAACGTTGTCAAAACACTATCATCGGCCAATGACACTATTACTGCCAGAATATTATCATCCTGCTGCATCGTTGAACCCCTAAAGTAGTTGTCAAACTGACATTGCCAAACATAAGTTATTGCCACTGTTATTATCATTAGATCACCATCTCCCACCTGCTATTGACATTGAACCAACGTTGCTCTACCGACACAACAACTTTCACTGACATCTCCAAACGACCGCCACCTTCGTCGGTTCACCATCTCTCAGACCCACTATCATCAAGCCATTGCCACCCATTAGCCACCATACCATAGCCATGTGGTTGACACCACTACCACCACCTTCGTTGTTTATTTGTTGTCGGAGTTGTCGTTACACCATCAATATATATTTGATGTCATTGCCACCATTAAACATTCATTATTAAATCACTATCATTAAACAATCATCACCTGTTCATCATTACTTCTGTTGTTTGATCACTGTCGTCTAACCATCGTCACTATTGGCGATAATGATTCCATATCTCCATCACACATCCCCTATTGTCAAACTTCTATCATTGCAGTTGAATCGCTATCACTTTCACTATATCTTCTTCCACTCATCTAATGAAAGTCAAGTCGATATCTCGCACTCATGTAATATCATTTTATGTATTTTCAAGAACATGCACATTTTTTTATAACACATCTGAATAATATGCGATAAACTTTTGCATTAAGAAGTGTATTTAGTTTATTAAAAGTGGATGATGGCGATATTTTTGATGATTTGAGTGGCAGACATGTAAATATTAAAATTTAGAAGTGAAATTTGTAGAAACATATGAATTGCTTGGTATTTATGTAAATCCCCAATTGTTTGGCCGATGACTTGGCTTGAGGATTAATTAAAAGCTCAGTCTCACGTCAATTAGGATAGCGTTCCCGGGGCTTTCCATTTCTGCACATCAAGCAAGTTGCCGCCCACAAAACACAAAAGGCCAAACCAGCTGTCTATTTTTAATAAATATTTGTGCTTATCTATTACAAAATAATAATAATAAATTTGCTAGGATATATCATATATGGTCTTTGTCGTTAATGTTGACCGTGCTATAAGCATAGCCAAGCAAAAAAAAACAGGTGATTACTTGTTTATCAATTGCTATTGTTATGCTGTAAAATCTACCATGTTATTAGCCTGTCATTTTAACAAGTCAAATTTCAACTGAGAATCATTTAACTCTAGTTTGGAAAGGATTCAAAGCTATGAATTTAGTTGTAAATTTATTAAAAATTGAGAAATATGCTCTCAGTGTGCTTTAGATCAATAAGAATTTAACATTAATTGGATTTGTAAATAGTAAATCGGTTAAATTCATTCTAATCTTGAATTTAGTAAATTTAGATTTAAGTCGAAATTTAGGAATAATTGCATTTTAACGTTTGGTTGGATTTAGTAAATCTGATGATAAATCATATTAAAAGGCGCTGCCTAGCATCCCCTGATGACATAAAATCTCATGTCTTTAAGCCTTGTTAATGAAATTTATTCAGATAAATTTTGTATTTGAACTTATTTTGAACTATTATCTCAACCTATTCGAATCATATTGAACAGCATTGAGAGCAAGTTTCAATGGCACGTATGTCTTGACATTCTCTCTAAGAAGGCGAGAGAGGTTTAAGAAATATTTAATTTAAATTAGTTGGTAATGAGATGATCATCCAGCGGTTGGACAATTTTTCTAGCATTGAAATGTTATGCACTCGAACCTCATCAATAATAATAATAATAATAATAATAATAATAAAATAAAATTAGTTTGAATAAAATCTTCTTATGATGAGTTTCCAAGCAATCTCCCAATAGAGTTAATTTGATCAAAGACAATTTTTTTTGGACATATTGGTTCAAGAAAATAAAAAAAGTTAATATTTCTTTAATTGTTATTAGCACAGGAAATATAAAATCAATTTTCTCTAAATATTTTCATAGCTTAGAAATTTGACAGCGATGTGTAAAAAGATAATTCTGAAAAATAACATTAAGCAATGATAATTTTATTCAATTTTAAGTAAAACTAACATTAATTTCTGATAAATATGAAAACTTTGGGCATCATAATGTATGGGAAAAAGCAAATCTTTACATACCATAAACTTTAGAAAGGATGCTATATATATATATATATATATATATATGTTATGTTAGACATGCTTAACATTTTGTTGAGATAAAATAAAAGTTCACTAGAAAGATAAAGTTTAAACTTCTCTTAAAATAAGAAAAAATATGAAAAAATAATTATTGTGTGGTAGACTATGAAGATGATAAAGAGAGTTTAGCTCCACATGATGATCACTATATAATTAAAAAAATAAAATGAAACTCTTAAAAAATATTTTTTTTTTGTGAGAATACTATTTAAGAAAATACTAGACAATATCTGACTGAAATACTCTTACTTATTATCATCGTTGATCATGAAGTACCTTTCTTATGAAATTGCATAGCACCTCATTACAACATTAAAAAAAATCTATATGATAGTGAACATCGCTTGAGATGGTGATGAAAATTGTGTACATGTTTTTTTTTTTTTTTTTTCTCCTTTGGAAATAATGTATACACTTTCATGTAGATAGCATTTGTGTTATATAAAGGATGTTTATTTGCCCAAAAAAATACAGTTAGAAATTAGAAGATTGAGTGTCAAAAACTAGTTGGCGGGGGAACAAGGCAACTAGTAGTTGACAAGTAAGTAGAGATGATGAGGGCATTCTCCGATGAGATCAAAGCAATCATTTTCTTAAAGGAGTGAGGGCAAGATGGATTGAAAGTTATGTCTAAAGGAAAATTTAATGGCAACAAAGAAGATTGAGTGACACTTTAAATGATGGTTATAACCTGAAATTTTGTTTGATTCAAGGATATTATAGAACTTTTATGCATATTTTTTATGCTCTAAATGCATAAATAATTTTTTATAAAAAATGGGTGAGTCTTTTAAACCATTTTTTTATTTGAATATTAAATAAATATTCAAGCACCATTAATTAATTCAACCTATGCCACACCTTTGATTAAGAAGATCATGATAAACTATCTTATCACTTTAGTAGGTTCATGGACCTACCCAGGCCATGTGTCCTCATGTGCTCATGTGACTCATTTGTGGATTATGATAACTTGATGATTACATGCAACATATGATGTGTCATTTTATAATGTTTGGTAAGTACTTGCTAAAAGTTACTTGCACTAAAGCGACCATGATGATGACGATATTACGTTAAACTTGCTTAGAGATTTATTAACATACAAGAGAGGGATAAAAAGTAAAATGTCAAGAACTCGCATGTAAATTATAATATTTTAAGTTAAATGTCAAATGTCTAGGTTTTATGATAAAGAAAATTAAGATTATGATAAGAAGAAATGAATATAATGACTTAAAATGTATTAAAAAAAATTATTTAGAGTAGCATAAAATTTCATTTCTAAATTTTTTATATGAGAAGGATTCATAAAATTGTTTAATAATATTATTCGATATGATAATTCAACTATTTAAAAAACTATAAGAATATATCGATGGACAAAAAATTCTAATGGATCATATAATTGAGGGTGCCTATGATCATACAATTGATCAATCACTACAAGCTACAATCATAAAATATAGTTTGGGTCAAATAAAACATTTAACACGTGCCCTGAAAAGAGAATCATGATGGATATTAGCCAAGCTCATGTACATGATTTTGAGGTAGTAAAGAATGAGTTGAAGTAAAAGCACAACTGCATTCAGGCCCAATTCGGCGTAATATTGGACTTGTTTTCAGCTGATCCATGCCTACAAAATCGAACACAATTCTAAATAATCATATTTAGTGGTTATTTGATTAAACATATTTAAATTTAATAAAATTTCAAGATAATGTGGTAGAAATACTTAGATTTGTTTGATTGGTTGTTCAGTAAGTTATGAATATCACTTTTCATTTATTTGGCTGTAATCATTTAAAATTTACCCTCGGACATTTTTAATAAATTACGAATCTCTCTCTCTCTCTCTCTCTCTCTCTCTCAATGTGTGTGTGTATATATATATATGATTTGTTTTTAAAAGATTAGCCCGAAGCTATTATTTGAGCCCTTGATCAATCTCATGTGTCTAACCATTCATGCACTGCACATAGACGAGTTCGAACCCGTAACCTCAGGAGATTTAGCACCTTTGACATTCATAGCGCTTGAATCTTTTTAAAAATGAGCACAATGTACAAATAATTAATATTACACAATTTTTTTTATAAAAATATAAAGTACTTGAACAAAAATTTTAAAAAAAACAACAAAATTATATTAAAATTTTATTTAAAATATATAATATTAATACAAAAATTTATGAAATGATCTGATTAAAGTTTTCTTTTTTAATTTTTCTAATAATTTACAAATTATATAGAAATTATAGGCAAAAATATATTACATAACTTGTCAAGCTTTATCATCAAGCATCTTATTTTAAATGATAAGAGATAAACTATTCAATAAAAAAATCAAATTTATTCCTTAGAGAAACAACTCTCTACAACTAAAACAAATGAGCCTACATAATTACAAAAAAATACAATAAAATACAAAGGAATCCCAGAGGTGTGGCCCAACAACACTTCATGCATAAAGTAGCATCCATGTAAAAATTGAAGTTTTAGGTGGTAAATATCTAAACACATAAGAAATGAATAATTTTGCATGTAAAATCTTCCAATTTTTCACTCTGCGCCAAGGTGAAATTTCACCTGATCCCCAAACTCCTTCAGATTCCCCTTCCCCCCACCCTCAAATCTCCCCAACCCAAAAACCCTACTATCCACCCCGATCCTCTCCGCCGTCTGTGCCTCGCCGCCGATCACCATCTCCGCCACCATCTTCCCCACCAACGGCGCCATCTTAAACCCATGACCCGAAAACCCTCCCGCCAACACCACATCCTTCCCAAACTCCCCACCCATAAAATCAATAACAAAGTCCTCATCCGGCGTCATTGAATACATACAACTCTGTTTCATCACCGGCCCGATCGCCGTCTCGATGCGGCCCGGCATGACGCGCTCAATCCATTCCGCCACCCGCGCAACCATTTCATCGGCTTCCAAAGACCAGTCTCGGCAATTCGGATCACAAGGCCAGCCGGCGTGCACTGCGATCTTGATCAGTCCGGGAAACTCCATCGCCGGCGTTCCGTAGACGTAAGGCAGGCCGTAGCTTGCGAAAGTCGGAAACCCCGCCGCCGGCGTCATCTCCGATTCAAATCCTTCTGTAATCTTCCAATACCATATCAAAGTATGAAGAGGCTGGATTGGGAGATCCTGCCCTGTAACCATTTTCACTAATTTGCTTGTCCAGGCGCCGGCGGTCACCACACACTTGATGCCGTGAAAGAGCCGACCATCGGTGGTGGAGACGCGGATCCCAACGCCGGCGATTGGGATAATGGCGTCGACCACGGTGCAGTCTCTGATAACGGCGCCATGGCGGACGGCGAGGGAGTGGAACATGGCGACTGCTTTGGTGGGCTTGATGACGCCGCCGAGGGGGGTGGATAGGGCGATCCAGTCGTCGGGGAGACGAAAAGCGCCGGAGATTAGGGTTTTTTGGGAATCGAAAATGGTGGCGGGGAGGGAGTCCGGGGAGCAATTGAGGATGACGGATTGGAGGCTGGGGGAGTTGGAGGGGCCGAGATCGAGTTGGGTGGTGGGGGTGAGGACGCGGTAGCCGGCGGCGGATTGAGCGGATTCCCAGAGGAGAGAGGATTCGAGCACCATGGGAGGGTAATAGGGTTCGGGGTAGGTGGCTCGGATGGTGCGGGATTCGCCATGGGAGGAGCCGAGGTGGTGGAGGAGATCAAACTGTTCAAGGAGGAGGACCTTTTTGTTGAGTTTAGAGATTTCGTAGGCGACGCAGCTGCCCATGATTCCGGCCCCGATGATGATGGCGTCGAAGATGGTGTTGGTGGGGATTTCCGCCATCGATGGGTTGTGGATCGAGCTCAGTTTGGTTGTCCTCTTATATAAAAGAGCTATAGAGCATGTGAATGGGGAGTTTAAATTGGAATATACCGTGTGCAGCCCAAATCAACGAGAAAATCGTGTCGAATCATGAAGGATTCAAATGAGGTACAGGTTTTTACTCACTATGTTGTATTTCATGTCGCGTTACGTACGGGACTCCGGATATAAAATTTTATTTTAATTTTTTTGCTTTTGCCTGTTATTATCTCCGTGATTGACTTGGTGACAACTCAGTCCTCGGTTGACTCGCTCGTCTCCGTCACTAATTTATCAGATGCTTGTTTGAAGTGTCAAATAATTCGCGTTATGATCGTTAAACAATTTGTCTTCGATTTGATGTTTAAGAAAGCAAGCCGAACATAGAAAGTGTTTGTTTAAGATATGTAAATAAATAGGATTTAGGTGATATGTATGTAAATGTCTTATATATATAAATACATAAGATTTCCCCTTTCCCAAAAATTTATCTGCCGCTGCCAGCTTGGCATTTCAGATCACATGCAAATTGATAAAATCGGGTGGCTTTCGCATGTTCTTCTGCGGCCACCCAAATTTTTAATCCCACATCGATTACAGTCACAAGAATTCCCATCAAGAATATTTATATTGCGCTCCAATAAGAAGTTGGGATGAAAAATGTTTTAAAATAAAAAATTTATTTATGGGTCAAATTAAGTTAGAATGATTATAATATGCAAGTTTTAGTTTAAGGCGAACATGAATGAGCTATTTGGAACACGGGCTCATTTCATGCCAAAAAAATCTCAAAATAGGAGTGATTCAAAAGGAATGGGCTACAAGTATCATGTTTCACTTCGGTTTATAAGCCTTTGTGTCTTGGATTCCCATAGTTGAAATTGATTATCCAAGCATCGAAATCCTTTATGAACACATAAATATTTTAGTCCATTTAAACCAAAATTCTTTTAGCATAGTATATGAAGCTGACACCTTGACATAATTGGCTTTTAGATGACATCTAGATGTATTATTATTTTGGAGTTGTTACTTGAGATTCTAATACATCTTCATTTTACTTTATGACAACAGTTATATCATGTGGATTGCTCAGCCGTACTTTGGCTAACTTACGTAGAGCTGAATTTGGTTTTTTCGGTGTTCTTGTCGAAACACGCAGGCATACTCCTTGCTTCTGGGGACATTGATCCAAAGCTCGAGTACGGTTTGTGCGCCATTTTTCTTCTCTACCATGGTTCGACTTATGCTGTGCAGCCTAACTTTTTGCCCCATGAAGACAACACACTAAATAGATTGGAGGATTTACATGCATACCCTCGATTCCAAAATATTTACACATAAAATCTACACTTCAATTTTTACATACATACCACCCTAACTATCCATGAAAAAGTTTCAGATGTGCAGGATAATTCCTCGACATCTTATTGTGGCACTAAGAATTCTGAAATTGAGTGCATTGAAGTTTGCCATAAACGTCAAAAGCTGTGTACGTCAAGCTTAGATGCTGCCACATCACACCGTGCTGCCACATCATTTAACTGTTCAACGGCGTGAACGCAAATTCTCAATGTTAAGTGGCTGGATTCCCATAAAGATCAACAGGTTTAAAAGAAAGTTCTTATGTCCAGCCCAAGAGAATTCAAATGTCCAGCTATGTCAAAAGGTAACAGTGCAAGTGAATTTTGTGATCCATTTGCATTTGATGATCACTCACAACCATCAAAGAGGGAACAATTATGTTCAGAAAAGGGGAAAAACTCAAACTAGCAAACAAATTTTCGCACTATTCGAAAATATCAATGGAGCTGAGGCTCTGAGTATAATCGTCAACGATGAATCAAGTCAGCAAACTAGTGAAGTCAATCCTGAGTCCGGAGATAATTCTTGTCCATCAGCAGCCGAAGAAGATCCTCGTATCCTAGTGGACTGAATTCTTTCGTCTGTAAAGATGTTTTTGTGTGCCTTATATTTATTTACAACTGTTGGGGCACAAACATAAATTTCACTCTAATAAAAGGATGTTTGCCACAATCATTCAAATATTTTCATTATGTTGTTTTTCTTTTGAGAATCATTAGTTTTCTTCGAAGAGTGAAGCATCACTATGATCAGGTCTCCATTATCTTCCGGCTTCATTATAACGATCATTTAAAAACAGGTAACAAAAATGAATATGCGTGTAGAATTGTTGCTTTTGCAAGCCATGTTATGTGCATTTTCTAATTTCCAAGTTCAGTCAAACAAAACACGGCTCGGAATTGCAAGGTTTTTGGGGTTTTGAAAGTGTGTTGAGCTGCAATACTCAGCCTAAATGGAAAAGCGGAAATATCTAAAGACAATGAACAATTTTGTAAGTTATTCCAGGTTGACTGATGAACTATATTATTAAGATTATGACACAAGGGATTAGAGATAAGAAATAAACTTTTGAGACTAATGTTGTCAGATTGCCATTTAGATAATTCTTAGTGATGACTTTCTTAATGTGGTTAGTATTTATGTTTCTTAAGTTGGATTAGATGATAGTTGAAAGGGATGGCTATGCTGTTACATTTTATACTTGAGGAAGATGAATATTTATTAACGGTATTTAAATGGATATATGTCTTTAAGTAGGATTAGGACCATTAATGAGAAGATTCCTGTTGGATGTTAAATAGGAGATAAAAATTTAATGTGAAAAACTATATTTGATTTGTGGTAGCCTGAGATGTTGCAAAAGTAGATCATGCTGTAAGGAAAAGAAAAATCATTTAACTACGTTTAAAGCACCAAATTGGAAATTGATCAATTTTTACCTAGAAGGAAATGATTCTTACCGGCGAAGATTATGAGATGATTTTAATTATATACCTCAGGGGTATAAACAGAATGAACTAAATTAATACTGATCCAAAGATGCAATATTAGAATTTGAAATGCGAGAAACAATTAATCTTTCAAGATAATAAGGGAAGAAAATAGATTTTTTTTTTTGTTGATTCATATATGGTATATGATGAATGATAAGTTCCATAAAAAAGGTTTTAAGTAAAATATTTTGGAGAGTTAAGAAATAGATCATATATTTTTTTTATTGAATGTATAGTAAGTAGATTTTGGAATATAAAATTATAAATGTCAATAAAAGCTAAATTTTAACCCATAATATAGTGAGACTTCTTGTGTTGTTAGTATAGTAAGGCACTGGTAGGGGTGTGAACGATCCGATTTCGAGCCGTTCCAGAGCCGGCTCAAAATCAGATCGAAATTCTTTTAACCTGATCGAAATTGGATCGTGGACATACGATCCTACTAAATTTCAATCCAATCTGTTGTGAATCGATTCAATTTTCGATTACTAAAAATGCCAACTTAAATGTCATTTTTGACTCATGAGCCAAATAGTTCGGCCCGAACTCGCCTTGACCAGCTCGACCAACCCACCAACAAAAAATGCATTTTATTTATTATTATTATTTTTTTTTTTTGGTGAAAAGAGGTGATTCGAACTCCTATCACTCCGCTCAAGCAAAAAACCCCTCACCAACCATGTTGGCAATGAGTTATGTATGCAAAACTAGAAGTTTGGGTGATAAACATATAAACACATAAGATTTTATTTCAATCCCGGTCCGAGCCAAGGATGGATCAAAATCGGATCAAAATGAATTCAATCCTTTAGTTTGGCTCGTAGCTCGGCTGGAATGGTGCGATCCGATTTCAATTCGAGCTAAAATTCGGTCCGATTTTAGAGCAATTTATGATTTTTGAGCCAGTTTCACAGCCCTAGGCACTGGCAGTGTAAAGAGTGTGAGCTTTATGTAATCATTAATGTGTCATAGTGCATAACACTTATCACAACGTAATTCGTGTTATATGTTTTGAGTGTAATTAAAACTTCTTATAGATTTTCTTACTTATTTAATTGTTTTTTAGTATTATTTACTTAAGGGCTTATCTTTTTCTACTCCTTTGCCTAGTCTCACATGTAACCCTCCTAAGCTGATCTCTCACCTAGACTCTCAAACAAGAAAAAATGAAAAAAGTAGCCTCCCCCTTAGTTGAGTTACAACACAGACAAAGAAGTTGTCAATGTCATAGCCACTCCCATGTCCCAATCTCCTCTACTACTTAAACAACTAAATATCGTGCTACTATTTTTCTTCCATGTTCCAACATAACCCTCTCAAAAGCTAAAGAGTGCATGAGCTCCTTTTCATTTTAGATTTTTCATTTGTCTCAATTGCAGTTCTTTTTCAAGCCAACATCCTATAGATTTCTGTCCTACACATCTTAACCTTCATTGCAAGACATCGTGATTCGATCTTCTATGCAAAAAAACCCCCTCTTCTGATCATTTACCTATAGCAACATTATATATAATTTATGTTTATTTTTTGAAGTTTTGCTTTAGAATGACTTTATTATAGCATTTTATTTTAATGTCTTTTTTTTTTTGTTTTATATATGTTTTTTAATGTACTTTGGTACAACCTAATTATTATTTATTTATATTACGTGATAATTTATTTTAAAATTTAGTTTTTTTTTTGTAACTATTCATTATAAAGTCACCTCATGTTTAATTTATATAACATTGATTTTTTTTTTTTTTTTTTTGCATTGTTTTCTCACATGTTGATGAATTATTAATAAATTATTTATAATTATAAAGATTTTGTCTTATATTTAAAATAGCATGTGTTCTTCTATGAGCATGCACTACTCATGCACCATGGCCACGCAGGACCTTTGTGTTATGGTTTATTATTCACTTTGGCTAAATTTGGGTGATGAGAAAATACAAAAATTATTATGGGAAACAAACATACAATTAAGGAGTGAAAAAAGCTAAATGCCAATTAGACTTGCATTGTTATATGAAAGCAAGAAGCCTTCCAAATTGAGTGATCAGAAAAGCAAAAAAATATATATTTTTTTATTTAATCATTTAATAGATATGATCCTAAACAAGAGGGGAATGAGATATATAAAATAACTATACTAAAAGATCATAGGTAAAGAGATTTTGATTAAATGTATAAGATGTGATAATAATACCAAGGAAGAGATGAAAATAAAACTTCATAAAATTTTTAAATGAGAATTTTAAGAAATTTTTTGGAAAAGGATGATGGATAAAATGATCATACCACAGGCCGACTAAAAAGAAAATTTACAATTATGTTGTAGAATATGCATGAAGGTGAAATTGTAAGTCCAAGTAAAATACTTATTTTGATTAAAAAAATTAACAAAATTTTATATTAGTTTGATTGATAAACCTTTCAATGAAGTTTTTGAGACCAATCCGAGCAAAGTGATAGTAGAGGAAATGGTTTAATAACAATATTTATGAGCGGAGAAATTTTCAAGATTTTTGTTAATTTTAAATAAATCAAATCTATTTTCATACAATGAAGTTATGTGAAAGAGTAATACAAGGCATACTTATAAAAATTAAGTCAATTTTAGAGGGGTTATTTAATTTCATGGCAGGAAGTTTGTTATGCAAAACGAATGAAAAATTATTTATAGTTGAGACAAAATTTTCTATATTTGACTGCCATGAGAATTGATTGATGCATTGGGTATCTTAAGTAAGAAATGTGTGGCAAGGTTATCTTAAGGCCATTAAAGATGAGCATAATGAAATATTGATTAGTATTGGAAATAGTTGTAATGTGATTGAAGTGCTTCCATTTGTAGTAGGGTGATATCAAGGGGTCATTGAGGCCATTTTATCTTATATGGGATAACGGAATGCTTTTAAATGATATTCAAAATGTGATGCTTTGCTGTATATATATATATTTTTGTCTAGATAGATTTCTAATCAATGAGATATCTATTGGAATAAGGGGAAATGTGGAACAACAAAAAAAATGTTTAGGACTATCAAGTATCTAATATATTTTAGTCTACTAAGTGTGTTATTAGTAATTTTCAGTCATTATTATTAAAAGATGAAGTGATGTATATGTGTGATAGATTAACTTAGATCTATTATATAGTCCTATGAGGATATATCTTCTCTAGTTAAGATTGTGCGGTTAAAATGAATAAATGCCTTAATAGTATTACATGATGAGAGGATATTATAGACACTTAAAGTTATATTTGCTTTTTTGTACTGATCTAAATGTTCAATAGACAAGTTCAATTCAGTTGAACTAAAATAGTCAAGATAGATTTATGTAAAAATAAAAAAAGGATAAATTAATGAATGATTATTCAGGAAAATTTAGAATTGTTAATATAGAAGATAAATATATACTGATAAAAAAGCATTCATTTAGTAGGCATATGATATACGTTATGTAGATTAAGAGGGAAAGGGGGTTAGTCCTAAAATAGCATGAATAAATGATGCTCTGAGTAATTTGCGAAGAATTATCATACACACACAGATAATGGAAGTACTTGCTAAATGCTTACTAGTTTTGTCCCCAGATTTAATTGTTGTATTTCAATTTGGTTATTTCAACTTTTATGCTGAGGATTCTTCTCTCTCGGTGGCTTTTAATGTACCAAATCTATGTACTTTGTACTAAAATCCATGCTATTAGTTATATAATTACTTTATGCCCCATTCCAATCATATAATAGAATATGAAGTGAATTCTTAAAGGGGGTGTGGCAATTAGAGTGTCACTTTTTGAAAATAACAGTGAAATAAAATATTTGATAGTTTGAACATGAGCAACAAATGGTAGAAAATGCATTCATTTAATAGATAAATAAAACTAGTTCAAAATGATTAAGAGAAAAAATGAGTAGCCATTAGCCAGGAGGAATGAAGATGATTTTTTTTCCATGATTTTTTTCGCTTAAAAGCTGATGGATGTGTTTGAATGGGTTTCAATTTAATTTCAACAATCATGAAAATTTGAAATAACCGAATTTCCTGTTCAAGCATAATTTTGATTTGTTTTCAAGAATGTCTACTAAATAGTTCAGGAAGATTTACATACATATCACTCAATTCCTATGTATTTACATAACTAACACCTGAACTTCATTTTTTACATACATGCTACCTTATCCATGCATGAAAAGCTGTATTTCACTTTTTAAAAGTTAAAATGTTGGTATTTTTTATGTGATTCGGAAGTTTTGGCTATGTGATTTACAGGTGAACGTCCCAAAATTTTTTTTAAAAAAAACCTATTGCAAGAACAAACAATGCAGGAAGCACACGCTGCACAAAGTTACCCAATACAAGGGTAAAGATAGTCTCTCTGCTCAAGGAATTAGACGTTGTTATCGGAGACAGTCTGGTTATGGTGGACAGACTAAACCAGTTTTCCACAAAAAGGTTTTAATTACAAGAGCTTCATACTCTTTGCTATGAACGGTAATAATTATATTTTCAGTGCAAAGTTATTCTGATATTTGATTGTCCAGAAAAAAATAAAAATAAAGGGGGATTGATTTAATTAAAATCATGTATATTTATAAATCTAACACACAGCTTAAAAAAAATGAATCATCATATGTACTTATTTGCATGTATTAAGACCAAATTATTGAGAATTTGATGAAATATTTAGAACTATAGTTGAAAGTTTCATTGTAAGTTTTGATATTTGGGTGAGGATTTGATGAATGGAGGCATGGAAGTTAAAAGTTTTGTAAATGTCTTAGATTTGAATGTGAGAGAAAATTGTCCCAAAAATAAAAGAGCTTACTCTCAGAAATTTTTCTGAGCAGGCAAAAACTACAAAGAAGATTGTTCTAAAGCTGCAATGTCAGAGTTCCAAGCACTTCTATCAGCGCGCTATCAAGGTATAGTTTAGATTTTAAATGAATCCTATGCTTCTTTTTGCTTTTATTTTCCTCGAAATTTTGTAGAATAATCTATTGTTTATTTCAGAGACTTTCAGATAGGTGGAGACAAGAAGGGGAAGGGAAAATCTCTGTTCTAAATACACAGGAGTTACTTAACTCTTTTCCTGATGCATTATTATCATTATTATTATTGTTTGTTGCTACTCATTGCCGTTCCAAAAAAATCATTTTTCTGTTGCAAAATATTGGCATTTTTACCAATAGATACTGTTAATTGAGATTTTGGACCTATAATATTGCCGTTAGTAATGATTTTTACTTGGTTGACCAAATTGCCCAAGCTCATATGTAGTAGCTGCAACCATGAAGATCTTCTCGCTGTTTTACTCGTGATGGTGAAATTTTGGACCTTATAAATCCAGATTCAGTTTTAACACGATAACAATCAGGGCCTCAACTTATTACGTTTCTAACTTCATATTTTATTTATAGATTTTATAAGCAGGAATTATTTCCTTCTGTTTTTTACTAGTTACAGTTTGAAGGCGTTACCAATATGAGAATTTTTAATATAAGGTTAAGTATACATGATTTTACTTTTGCTTTGGCCTATTCAGGCTCTGTACATTTCTGTTGCTGTTTTTCTGTACTAGCAAAAGATTATTGTTAGATAGCAGAAAATTATTTGCTGTGAGAAAAAGTTATTTAAAACAATTTTAAATTGTTTCGGTTACATAAAACAAGAAAGCAGAGTTTTTAAAGGAGTTGAATAAAAGATCAACCCATCCTAGATCTGAACTTGCATGCAATTCAAGTTTAGTTCTCTGAATTTGAGCTTGTTCATGAATTGGCTCACTTATTATAACTGAGGAAAAGATAAGTTTACTCCTACCGTCCTACATAGTTGTTGTAGGATGAAGTATATGAAGGAGAACTTCAAAAAGATAAATTGTGATAAGAAAGAGAAATTGGATTTTAAATAAACTTACATTTAAATCAGAATTTGAATATATTTTTAAAATATTTATGTAAATATTTTTTAAATGAGTATGATCGCAAAGTAATCAACCCAATAACCGAGTTTGAGTTAGCTCAAAGATGGCTCGTTATGTAATAAAAGTTTACAGTTATTTATCAGATTGAGCAGAAAATGACTCGCCCTAACTTGTCACACCCCAACAACCTACTCTGGTTGTACTATTCAGCAAGTACGTAACTTGAAATATTGAATAGAAAACCTTAAAAGAGAAATTTACAAACATACCACAATTCTTATGTACTAGCATAACACCCAAATTTTGATATTTATACATGTAATGCATTGGTGTCATAAACTTATACATGAATGTTGTAATTAATTTTTAAAAAGATAGCGATGGAAAAACTTTTGATGTGATTTTTAAAGATTTAAGTGTTATGCATGTAAATGTGTCTAGGTATTAGATATGTAAATACATAAGAATGGTGTGGTGTGCATGTAAATGCCTCAAACTTCAGTGCAAAAGTAGGAACTGCCCGGAAGAGATTTGAATTCTGAATTCAATCTATAGCTTGCAGGTTCCATATTATGGCAAGACAATTAAATAACATTACACTGAAATTGATTACATGAACGGCTAGGAGGGAAAGAAGAGAACCTTAAAGAATATTGAACACCAATTTGATGACCCAATAAGCTTTTCCGCCCTCAGCCTCCCTTCGGGGGATCTTATTCTTCACAAAGAGCTGAATGCTGAGGTCTTTAGAAGGTCGACCCATTGTACCCACAATTGTAACCCTGCCGAGGAAAAAAAAAGGCATGAACCCTAATTCAAATTAAATAAGGGGGATTTAAATACATGCCACATATTTTCTACATATTTATATATATCTAACACCTAAATTTTAATACTCTTATAACGCTCAAATCATTAACATCACATTAAATATATCATTAATACAGCAATACTGACTGTCAAAATGATATACACATTTCATGTACATAATTTGATGTGATTATGAAGCTAAATGATTTATGCGTAAACACAGAATTTTATGTGTAAGATGTGTAAATATATAATAAGTGTGTAATGTAACGTACATGCTCTGATAATCATTTAACATATATTTGCTAATAAAATTTAGCTGTAACAAATAAACCAACTTCAACGGGAGAATGTCGAGACCTGAAGCCACAAGCACCACTTACCTCGACGTCGGAGAACTTAATATAGAACCTAGAACCATCGATTGAAAGCTTAGTTTGAAGAAGTTCTGCGAGAGCGGAGCTCAGCTTCCCATTAACACTTGGGCCCAAACCTCCAATAGAGAGGAGTTCTGCGTAGGCCGCTGGTTCTTCACTTCCGGCGAAGGCGATGGGCTGCCCTCCATCAAGCAAAATCATCACATACTGTAACCAACAGCAAAAGAAGTTAGAACATTTCAAACATCCCAACAATGTTTAGCAGAATATAATTATAGTTATTGTGGATTGGGATTAATTAAACTAACACTGCCTGCTTTAACAATCACAAATATCAATCTTTGCCTCTCATATTCTATTTCTCTTAATTTATTGTAGCTATTTCTACTGGTACGTCTTAAGGATTTCAGATATAGACGCCTCTTCTCATAGATAACCATAACCTATTTTCATCTCTTCATATTACACATGTGCCGCAAATTATTGTTAAGTTTTGATGGTGTTTCCTCTTTTATTTATAGAAGGGTATTGCATATCTTTTTAAATTTCTTTTAGAGCTTCTATATATCCCACATTTATATCTTTTAGAGCTTCTATATATCCCACATGTGCCGCAAATATCACTAAGACTCGTAACACCTCAACAAACTTTTATCCCTTTAATTATGTTTTTCAAAACCTTAGATTGAGAACGATGATGATAGCTATGTTAAATACGATTACATATACTTGATCACAGATGTTCCTTTCGCCTTCTCTTCCATCACTACTCCATATTACTGTTGCTATCGTTTGGGCCATCCTCCTCACGAAAGATTACAAGATTATGTTTATGTCTCCTCGCTGCTCTCCAAGTTTAAATATCCTGCTTATGAATTAGGTGTGTGTCATTTTCTCTCTCATACCGTCAACATTATTATTCTATCTTGTCCGCTGAGACAGCTATGGCCCTAATACTGTTCTTAATCACTTGAGATTCCAATTTTTTGTTACATTTATTAATGTTTATTCTAGGATTTCTTGGGTCTATTAACTGGAGTGTCCATCTAAATTATCTACTCAAGTTTCATCAATTAGGATTGGACTTTACTACAAATAGATGTGAGTGAAGTTTTTAACTAATAGGATTCTTAGGAGGTCGTTTACACGGACATGCTCCTAAGTATGCTGCTTAGAGGAAGAACCAATTACGTCTACTTAGGAAAGTTATGGCTTTAGGCCCTTAAAAAAAATCTGACATATTACTTCTCGCGTTGTCGTTCGTGTTGTCTATATTGATGGCATAATGCCTACTTTAAGTGAACATAATATCATCTTATGAGGTAAAACGCTAACCCTACCAGTAAAAGTTGTTTTATCACCAAAAATGAGGCATCTAATGTATTTTTATTTGGTTAAAATTGCCTGCAGAAACAGGAATCATTATCTCAAAGAAAGTACAAATTGATTTTCTTGAAGAAATTGCTTGCTGCAATTCAATCGAGACTCAAATGGAAACTCGGACAAAGTCAAACAACAAAGATCTATTGGTTGAACCATCACAATGTGCAGCTCCTGAATATGCACACCGTAATAAATTGTACTTAAAAATATTTCCTTCCTAATTATCTTTTTTCTGATTTTCTCCTTATCTTTATTTCTTCAGC